TGTTATTTCCTATGAGAAGTGATTCATTGATTCAAAATAAACACTCACTCTATGTCTCAGTCATTGAATATTTGTATACAAATTCTTGTCACCAATGCTTGCGTTCACTGAATATTCTGTAGTATTGCACAGTATTTCATATAACTTATAATAGTTTTGCTTAACATTAGTGTTATAAACAGTTTTAGGTTTTCAAAATAAACACTTCCTATGCTATTATAATCGTGTATTTCTTATACTAATTAGAAATTTAGTTATTTTTGCCTATTTTATACAATTGTAGAAATTTTATTTTAAATTTTCCGAGACTTCTGTTTAAATAACAGTTTAATTGTCAAACAAGTATTTTGATAAATAGTATTAAAAATTATTTTTAAATCCAGTTCTTGTGTGAGTAAACGTTTGAACAAAACATTTACAGTATATTTAGTCTACAAATGGATAATAAGTTAGATAACAGATTCTTGTCTAACATATTATCAGTTCATTTGCTTCATAAACACCTTTTCATATCAATTGTCTAATAATTCCCAAACAACTGATGTTTACATTACTTATCGCTTTAATTTATATGAATTTATTATACATTAATAATTAGATTATAATTTTCAATAAATTAATACTCAAACAATAAACACAAATGTTATAGTTGAAGTTATGTCACACAACTTACAGTTAGAAATATGTGAATGTGAATCAAACTCAATTATAAACAATAATTATATTAAATATAAAAATATTAATTTTGATGATAGTTGTAGCCTTGAAATTGAAATAATACTCACTTAGCTTTACTAACAAATTCAATGTAGTCTCAATAAAATCATTAATCACTTAAAGTTATCAACTATTTAACTGTTTCAATAGTGCACTAGTCATACCCTAACTTTACATCAAATGTTATATTTGACAGACAAGTGAAATTAGTAAAGCCGGTTAAATCGGCCCGGGGTTAAAGTGCTTGAGACCGGTATTACATTGAGACACTTAAAAGTGAAAGCAATGCAAACATAAGGAATAGTTTGAGTGCAAGAACCGTACGAAAAGTGCAGCAAATAGTGTATGAAATGCAAGTATAAAGACAATTATGAATACACGAGTCATTACAGTGTTATGTTATGCGAAACCATTGATTAAACTCCTGGGAAAAGTCCATTAAATTATAGTCAAAACATTTGCCTGAATCGACTCAAATCAGAGCTGATATGTGTTTTGTCTGTCAGAGTATTCGCAGAAAACAACTTTCAGATCAACTTTTTAGTGCCTCTCATGTCAAGCGAAATAACTTTTTATTAAAGTCTGAGTTTTATCGCAATTTTCGTTTCAACTTTTTTGGTGTTTATTACAGAAAACTTATGAATTCATAGTGAATATCATAATGGTTTCCGTCGGTTATTATATTAAACGGACAATTCGTGCGATTATCGACACATTTGTCAGAATAATCGGATTATTATATCCGTCTAATCAGCGATACTTACCGCCCATTACTGACAGACTTTTGTTGGAACCGGCGATCAATTTAGTGAAACGTGTCAAAACTGGACAAGTATTACATTATTTGCAAAATTAAATTAAATTTTAACATTAATTTTTTATAAACTTTTAGCTAAAAAGTGAAGATCTGGTCAAAGCATACATCGATCGCATCAAAACTGTTCAGGTATTCAATCGATTATATGATTAGTTCACAAAATTAAGTATATTATACTTGTATTGCATATCAATTATCTAATCCATATTAGTTTTAATCTAATGTTCTTATAATTGTGTATTAATTTCAACTTAAATTAATATTTTAATAATGAAAATATATTAAAAGCATATTTCAAATGAGGAAATAATTGCTTAAAATTCAAAATGAAGTGAAATAATAGCATAAATTTCCCTTATTTTATAGAATTAAAATACTGTATAAATATTCATATGCCATAAAAAGTTATAAAAACTTTTATTGATTGTGTCGATAGCCTCACATAAATGCTGTGATCGATGAGCGCTACGAACTGGCCATAGAAGATGCCAAAGAAGTCGATAAACGGGTCACTCATGAGCTCCAGGGCAATGAACCACTCAATGGAGTGTCCATTCATTCACAGCCATTGTTAGGCATTCCCTTTTCGGGCAAAGATAGCATAGCCATCAAAGACATGCTATATATGGCCGGATGTCCCGCACGGAAAGACATCCGCGCGACAAAGGATGCGCCATCAGTGGGGCGTTTGAGAAATGCCGGCGCTATACCCGTGTGTCTCACAAATGTACCCGAATTGTTGATGTGGTATAACGCGCACAACAAGACATTTGGACAGACATACAACCCGTACGACAAGTCCATCATTCCAGGNTGGAAGTCCTCTGGAGTTGAGTCCAATCGGCACTTGAGTTATAGTCTTGTTTAGACTATTGAAGACCGCTGTGTAACTGATATTATGTAAGTTAAAGAGTGTGGCATTCAGTTTGACACAACTTTCCGGGTGAGAGGGGAATAGAAAAATGCCATCATTTCCTATGCATTTCCACAAATCAATTACCGCTATAATTAAGACTACATATGAATCAAACAAACTATACCTAAGAGTTGTGTCAGTTCTGTCTTCAACTCGTCCCGGATTCTGAGATATTCTTGTATTTCCTGTTCACTTGTATACAGTTTACCCCAAACAGCATAAGCGAGTGCTCCTAATGTGTGATCAGAGCCGCCGAAAAGGGTTTTGAATAACTCGGCGAACAAATTGATGGATCCGTTTCTGTTAGTCATCTCTTCAGTCATCGGCGTGTCATTCATTGCTTTCATAGTGAGCGTCCAAATTGACCAGGAGTGCTTTAATTTATCTAAATTAACCTCTTGAACAGTTGCGCCCAAACTTTTCATATGTTGCACACAATCAGTGATACCCTTCCGTACATCTGGAGTGACACGAGTGATGAAGGGGTCATCCATTTCATACATGTAATAGACTTTAATTTGTGTCAAATCTATGCTTTCGTCTAATTTTAGTTGCGATGCGTTTTTGCCGACAAATACTTTGACCATTGGTTTCAAATCAGTCGCGAATCGGACTATCGGTCCATATGTTAAGAGTTTTTTAGTTTCTTCATTATATGGCGGCCAGTGATTGTCTTTGGGAATCAGTTCGTGTGTAATGCAGTGACCGAACAAACCGCAGAAGAATGAAGGCATTCGTATGGATCCCGCGAGATCTGATCCAATGCCCAGTGGAGCACCGGCTGATGACACAAGCGATGCGCTACCACCAGAACTACCGCCTAAATTATAATAATCCTGGTCAGTTAATTAATGTCTTATGAGTTTTTATTGAAATCATACTAGGAATGACAGATTTGTCGTACGGGTTGTATGTCTGTCCATAGAGCTTGTTGTATGCATTCCACCACAACAGCAATTCCGGCACATTTGTCATACACACCGGTATAGCACCGGCATCTCGAAGGTATTTCACAACAATTGCATCTTCTGTGGCTTTAATGCCCTTTCGAGCGGGACATCCAGTGGTTTGGAAGAGACCTTTGATGGGAATACTGTCTTTACCAGCAAAGGGAATGCCTAACAATGGCTGTGAATGAATGGACACTCCATTGAGTGGTTCATTGCCCTGAAGCTCATGAGTGACCCGTTTATCGACTTCTTTGGCTTCTTCTACGGCCAGTTCATAGCGTTCATCGATCACAGCATTAATGTGCGGCTATTATCGCAAGAAATCACATATTGTACTGTAATTTGATATAACTATGAAATCCTTGAAATTAAATTTAATAAATACGTTAATAATTTTGATGCGATCGATGTATGCTTTGACCAGATCTTCACTTTTTAGCTAAAAGTTTATATAAAATTAATGTTAAAATTAAGTTTAATTTTACCAAATAATGTAATACTTGTCCAGTTTTGATACGATTCACTAAATTGATCGCCGGTTCCAACAAAAGTCTGTCAGTAATGGGCGGTAAGTATCGCTGATTAGACGGATATAATAATCCGATTATTCTGACAAATATGTCCAGAATAACACGAATCGTCCGTAAAATATAATAAACAAATAAGTTCATATTTGAATTTTTGTATTGTTAATGTATTTTTAAAATATTTTTTTTATGATAATGGATTGTCAAATTATATCTTTATATACATTATCTTAACCTTGATTTGTAAACATTAGTTACGAAATATTAAGTTCTTATGAACTGATGTAAAAGTAGTCAGACAAGTTTATTGAATGCACAATAATGCAATGTTAACTATGTTCAAGATACTCATAAATTACAGTATTACTCAATAGTGATACCTGAGTGCAAACCATTTATTATTTAATTGAACTAAAATTCTCATAAAAATGTTTTTTTGCTATAAACTGTCGCAGGATATCAGTAATAATTATTGATGTTAAAAGGTTCCGTTATATTTTGTTTCCGGAATAATCATTTTTTTATTTTACAAATCATTTGGCAAAATATCAAATACAATAAAATTACAAAAAAAAACTTTTCTAATTGACAACATTATACTGTATTAACAATTGATTCTTGTGGGCGGAACCCAACCACCGAAATGTCTCTCCAGTTCTTCGGCCACAGCGATAGTCAAGTGATCGTTGAATCCTTTGGCGATCACCTGAACACCCAGTGGTAGGCGTCTGGTGTTGAGCCCTAACGGGACCTGAGTTACAGCCACTGACAGACAGTTGAAGACCGCAGTGTAGACACAGTTCTTGAAGTTGAATAGAGTTGCGTTCAGTTTGACTTCACTGTCCGGATGGTCAGGGAATAGCAAAACGCCGTCATCTCCTATAACATTGCAATTCATTTGGCAATTATTATCTCAAATTCATCAAACAATGTATACGAGTATTGGTGTATAATCTATACCCAAGACTTTGTGAAGTTCTGTCTTCAACTCTTCGCCGAGTGCTTTGAATTTACGCAACACTTCGTCTTTGGGAGGGTTGGCATCAAATACGGACACACAGATGGCTTCGAGACTGTGTTCAGATCCGCCGTAAATGGACTTAAATAACTCGAGGAATGGGTTTATGGGTCCACTCCTGTTAGTGAGTTCTTCACCGAAAGGAGTGACGCCTTCCACTCGCATAGAGGACTGCCATATGAGGAATGAGTGCTCGAATTGCTTCAAATGGATCTCTTGGACGGTTGCGCCCAAACTCTTCAAATGCTGGATCACATCAGAGATCCCTTTGCGGGTCTCGGCGCTGACGGGTGTGAGCAATGGGTCATTGATTTCAAACATGTAATAGACTTTAAGTTTGCTTAAGTCGACGCTTTCATCCAACTTAAGGGCCGAGACTTTGTCTCCGAGTAATACTTTGAGTATTGGTTTCATATCAGACGCGTACCGCACCATTGGTCCGTACGATAGCATACGATCCCTACCGGCCGGGTATGGCGGCCAGTGTTCGTCTGTGGGCACCAGCTCTGGGGTCGTGCAGTGACCGAATACACCGCAAAAATAGGCCGGTATTCTCGTGGAACCGCCGATGTCTGAGGCGATCCCAATCACCGAACCGGCCGATGCTATGAGCGAACCGTTGCCACCCGTACTGCCGCCTGACAAGAGTTGACAGGTTTTGTTAGATTGACACTACATTTGATATCATATGAAAGTCATGCCTGGAATGATGGACTTGTCGTACGGGTTGTATGTCTGTCCAAATGTCTTGTTGTGTGCGTTATACCACATCAACAATTCGGGTACATTTGTGATACACACGGGTATAGCGCCGGCATTTCTCAAACGCCCCACTGATGGCGCATCCTTTGTCGCGCGGATGTCTTTCCGTGCGGGACATCCGGCCATATATAGCATGTCTTTGATGGCTATGCTATCTTTGCCCGAAAATTTGCAATGTTATAGGAGATGACGGCGTTTTGCTATTCCCTGACCATCCGGACAGTGAAGTCAAACTGAACGCAACTCTATTCAACTTCAAGAACTGTGTCTACACTGCGGTCTTCAACTGTCTGTCAATGGCTGTCACTCAGGTCCCGTTAGGGCTCAACACCAGACGCCTACCACTGGGTGTTCAGGTGATCGCCAAAGGATTCAACGATCACTTGACTATAGCTGTGGCCGAAGAACTGGAGAGACATTTCGGTGGTTGGGTTCCGCCCACAAGAATCAACTGTTAATACAGTATAATGTTGTCAATTAGAAAAGTTTAAAGTTTTTTTAATTTTATTGTATTTGATATTTTGCCAAATGATTTGTAAAATAAAAAAATGATTATTCCGGAAACAAAATATAACGGAACCTTTTAACATCAATAATTATTACTAATATCCTGCGACAGTTTATGGCAAAAAAACATTTTTATGAGAATTTTAATTCAATTAAATAATAAATGGTTTGCACTCAGCTTTCATAATTGAGTAATACTGTAATTTATGAGTACCTTGATTCAAGATTCTTGAACATAGTTGACATTGCATTATTGTGTATTCAATAAACTTGTCTGACTACTTTTACATCAGTTCATAAGAACTTAATATTTCGTAACTAATGTTTACAAATCAAGGTTAAGATAATGTATATAAAGGTATAATTTGACAATCCATTATCATTTTAAAAATATTTTTGAAATACACTAACAATAAAAGATTCAAATATGAACTTATTTGTTTATTATATTTTACGGACGATTCGTGTTATTCTGGACATATTTGTCAGAATAATCGGATTATTATATCCGTCTAATCAGCGATACTTACCGCCCATTACTGACAGACTTTTGTTGGAACCGGCGATCAATTTAGTGAAACGTATCCAAACTGGACAAGTATTACATTATTTGGTAAAATTAAACTTAATTTTAACATTAATTTTATATAAACTTTTAGCTAAAAAGTGAAGATCTGGTCAAAGCATACATCGATCGCATCAAAATTATTAACGTATTTATTAAATTTAATTTCAAGGATTTCATAGTTATATCAAATTACAGTACAATATGTGATTTTCTGCGATAATAGCCGCACATAAATGCTGTAATCGATGAACGCTATGAACTGGCCGTAGAAGAGGCCAAAGAAGTCGATAAACGGGTCACTCATGAACTCCAAGGCAATGATCCACTCAATGGAGTGTCCATTCATTCACAGCCACTGTTAGGCATTCCCTTTGCTGGCAAAGACAGTATTCCCATCAAAGGTCTCTTCCAAACCACTGGATGTCCCGCTCGGAAAGGTATTAAAGCCACAGAAGATGCAATTGTTGTGAAACATCTTCGAGATGCCGGTGCTATACCAGTGTGCATGACAAATGTGCCGGAATTGCTGATGTGGTGGAATGCATACAACAAACTCTATGGACAGACATACAATCCATACGACAAATCTGTCATTCCTAGTATGACTTCAATAAAAACCCATGTCATTAAATAACTGACCAGGATTATTATAATTTAGGCGGCAGTTCTGGTGGTAGCGCATCGCTGGTGTCATCAGCCGGTGCTCCACTGGGCATCGGATCAGATCTCGCGGGATCCATACGAATGCCTTCATTCTTCTGCGGTTTGTTCGGTCACTGCATTACTCACGAACTGATTCCCAAAGACAATCACTGGCCGCCATATAATGAAGAAACTAAAAAACTCTTAACATATGGACCGATAGTCAGATACGCGAGTGATTTGAAACCAATGGTCAAAGTATTTGTCGGCAAAAACGCATCGCAACTAAAATTAGACGAAAGCATAGATTTGACACAAATTAAAGTCTATTACATGTATGAAATGGACGACCCGTTTATCACTCGTGTCACTCCAGATGTGCGGAAGGGTATCACTGATTGTGTCCATCATATGAAAAGTTTGGGCGCAACTGTTCAAGAGGTTAATTTAGATAAATTAAAGCACTCCTGGTCAATTTGGACGCTCACAATGAAAGCAATGAATGACACGCCGATGACTGAAGAGATGACTAACAGAAACGGATCCATCAATTTGTTCGCCGAGTTATTCAAAACCCTTTGCGGCGGCTCTGACCACACATTAGGAGCACTCGCTTATGCTGTTTGGGGTAAACTGTATACAAGTGAACGGGAAATACAAGAATATCTCAGAATCCGGGACGAGTTGAAGACAGAACTGACACAACTCTTAGGTATAGTTTGTTTGATTCATATGTAGTCTTAATTATAGCGGTAATTGATTTGTGGAAATGCATAGGAAATGACGGCATTTTTCTATTCCCCTCTCACCCGGAAAGTTGTGTCAAACTGAATGCCACACTCTTTAACTTACATAATATCAGTTACACCGCGGTCTTCAATAGTCTAAACAAGACTATAACTCAAGTGCCGATTGGACTCAACTCCAGAGGACTTCCACTGGGAGTCCAAGTGATCGCCAATGCATTCAATGATCACTTGACTATAGCTGTCGCGGAGGAACTGGAGAGAAGGTTTGGCGGTTGGGTTCCGCCCACAAGAACTAACTGTTAATATAAATCTTAATACATAATTGTCTTATAAATCTTATGACACTTTTCATTCAAATTATAATTATGAACATGTATATCATTAACTTGTTGAACACAAACAATTTAGTGCAAACTTCGAGAACACATCAAATTTGCACATGCACTGTAATTCTTAAGTATCTTGGTGAAATTAAAACAATATTTATACGATACGCTAATTGATTAAAGAGCTTAAATTTAATTATAAAGCGAAATAACATTTTCTTTTACTAATATTTATAATTCAAATAACTGAACCATGATTTTACTTTTCATAAGATAGTAATTTATAATTAATAACTACAGTAGAAGTGTTTGTCAATTGCACTCAAATCTCATATGATTTATAAATAAAATACTCTGTATACCAATTTCTGGGAATGACTACTAATATGTTAATAAGTGTCATATAATTTATAATAATAATCAACATTTACATGTAGATTGTGACATACAGTATTACATGATTACATTTAGATGATCTGGCATATTTTGAATGCTGTCAGACGAGACAATTCGTATACCATATAATATACGCGTATATCTTAAACTTTGCCTTTTGTTTGCCACTGAAGTTGTGTAAGTATTTGCAATTGCTTTCTATCAAAAATCTCACTTCATTTCAAAGTCAACTTAATTATAAAGATTCTAATACTATGAGAGTTCAATATAGGTTTTAATCTATGACCTTAGCAATGGTCACTGATAATATGTGATATTTCAATGTGTTCAACCTGTTTTGTTTAATAAGTTTGCTCTCATAGTATTAGATTCTAACAATTAGAACCTTTATAATACCGGTATAATATCAAGTTTATAATTAAGTGAGGTTTTTATAGAAAGCACTCATAATATAAGTCTCATATACAGCAATAGATAAGTTTCCAGTCTATTCAAGAGCGATCCAATATGTGCTGGTTAATTAATTATATTAATCGTACGATTCGTGTTATTCTGGACATATTTGTCAGAGTAATTGGTTTATTATATCCGTCTAATCAGCGATACTTACCGCCGATTACTGACAGACTTTTGTTGGAACCGGCGATCAATTTAGTGAAACATATCAAAACTGGACGAGTATTACATGGTTTTCAATATTTTATTTCTATATTAACGTTCAATTTATATGAACTTATAGTTGAAATGTGAAGATCTGGTCAAAGCATACGTCGATCGCATCAAAACAGTACAGGTAATCATTTTGGATAATAAATTTATTTTTTAATACCAAGGTACTGTATATAATAATTCTCAATTTAGCAATTTATGTGCTTTTCCTGCGATTAATAGCCGCACATAAATGCTGTGATCGATGAACGCTATGAACTGGCCGTAGAAGAAGCCAAAGAAGTCGATAAACGGGTCACTCATGAGCTTCAGGGCAATGAACCACTCAATGGAGTGTCCATCCATTCACAGCCACTGTTAGGCATTCCCTTTGTAGGCAAAGACTGTATTCCCATCAAAGGTCTCTTACAAACCACTGGATGTCCCGCTCGGAAAGGTATTAAAGCCACAGAAGATGCAACTGTTGTGAAATATCTTCGAGATGCCGGTGCTATACCTCTTGCTGTGACAAATGTGCCGGAATTGCTACTGTCTTGGAATACATACAACAAACTCTATGGACAGACATACAACCCATACGACAAGTCTATAATTCCTGGTATGACTTCAATAAAAACTCATAAGACATTAATTAACTGACCAGGATTATTATAATAATATAGCGGGTAGTTCTGGTGGCTGTGCATCACTGGTGTCATCGGCCGGTGCTATTATGGGCATCGGATCAGATATCGGGGGATCCATACGGATACCTTCATTCTTCTGTGGTTTGTTCGGTCACTGCATTACTCACGAACTCATTCCCAAAGACAATCATTGGCCGCCATTTCCCGAAGAAATGATGAAATATTACACATATGGACCGATAGTCCGATTCGCGACTGATTTGAAACCAATGGTCAAAGTATTTGTCGGCAAAAACGCATCGCAATTAAAATTAGATGAAAGCATAGATTTGACACAAATTAAAGTCTATTACATGTATGAAATGGATGACCCGTTCATCACTCGTGTCACTCCAGATGTGCGGAAGGGTATCACTGATTGTGTCGAGCATATGAAAAGTTTGGGCGCAACTGTTCAAGAGGTTAATTTAGATAAATTAAAGCATGCGGTCATGATTTGGATGACTTGTATAAAGGCAATCAAAAACACGCCAATGACTGAAGATATGACTAACAGAAACGGATCCAAAAGTTTGTTTATCGAGTTTTGCAAAACACTTTACGGCGGCTCTGATCACACGATTACGGCTCTTGTTATGGCTGTGGCTATGAGACTGAGTATCAGTGAACAGGAATCGCAAGAATATCTCAAAATACGGGATGAGTTAAAGGCAGAACTGAATGAACTCTTAGGTATAGTTTGTTTGATTCACATTTGGTTTAAGTTATAAAATAGTTTAACAAATCCGTAGGAAATGATAGCATTTTGTTATTCCCAACTCATCCGGACAATTGTGTCAAACTGAATGCCACAATCATTAACATCAAGAACACCAGTTACACAATGGTCTTCAATATGCTGGATATGACTATAACTCAAGTGCCGATTGGACTCAACTCCAGAGGACTTCCACTGGGAGTCCAAGTGATCGCCAATGCATTCAATGATCACTTGACTATCGCTGTGGCGGAGGAACTGGAGAGAAGGTTTGGCGGTTGGGTTCCGGCCACGAAAGTTCAATATGAATAAAATGCACACAAATTATAGCTCATAATTCAAAAAACGTATTCAATTTTCCATTTATGCAATGATTTGTAAATAAATGACAAAATTTACACAAAAAACATCAAAAAAAATATGAATTCCGAAATGACTTCCGAAACTAATAGACAAGAAGCTCGAAGTCCTTATACTTCCAATTGGCGCAGATGTCCACCTTATAGCTCATACCGGCGCCGCTAATCAACTCTTTAATACCAAACTCGCTATCCTTGTAGTGATGGGCGCTAATACTGAACACATCGGGCGCTGAGGTCGGTATCGTAGACTTGAGTTCGCCATTGAGTTCCCAGAAGTGAAGACTGGAATCACTGCCACCGGAGATGTAGTAGTCGTTGTGGGCGACGATCACATTGGCGGTGCTCTGGGCGTCAAATTTGGTCGAATAAGACATGGTATTCAAGTGCCAGAGCGCCAGATGTGGTCCACCGCCACATATGAGCCAATTATTGGTGGCCAGAGTGAGAGCGCCGATCCATTTGCCATAAGTAGGTCGCGAGAGGTGAGCCGTCCGGTGCGGGTATATCTGTGACACCGACTTCTGGCCGCACCTCAGATCCCACACCAATACGGCTCCGTCTTCGCCGCCGGAGTACAACATATGGCCGTCGGCTGAGAGTTGAATGCAATTAACGTAGTCTTTGTGTT